CCCCCCCCCCCCCCCCCCAGCAACCCTCCCTTCGCGACCTCCTCAGCGAAGGTCTCCTGGGGGGAGCGTTTCAGGGGAGACGGAGCGGGCAGGGGAGTGTTTGCCCTTGGCCTTCCCGGGGTGGACGCGCCCAAGACGCCCCAGGATGCAGTGCTTGAAGTTCGCCGTTCAGAGGCGGGCGGGCTGGTGGATGAGTGGGTGGCCTGGTTTCCTTGAGCTTTAACTTCCAAGCTCTGCAGGTCAAGAAGGGAAGCACCTTCCTCTTAAGGGCTCCGCAATCCTAAACGTGTGTGTGACTCCGGCTATTGGGTCTGGGTTTTAAAAATCCGGAGGACCACTAGATGGCAGTAGCAGACTGGACTTTGCTGAATGGCTTCAAGGCCTTCTGGGGCTGCCCAGAGTTTTGTTAGGAAACCCAGGTCTGAAAGCTCCAGCTTGTTCTGGTAAGAAACCTCAGCCCATCTGTGAAGCAAAGCTGGGATACGGATCCCTACCCCGTGCCTTTCACAATGACTTGTTCTGCCCAAATTGGTAAGAGCTTGCTGGAACATAGCAATAAAGATGATCATCCATGCCTGGTACCACTAAATTGTCCTGCCACTAAGGGGACAGGAGGGCAATCACAATAAAACCGTACCAAAATGAGAGATGCCATTTAGCCTGGGTGGAACTGAGATGGTGCTAAGATTAACAAGACACATTTTGCATTGAAAATTGGAATGTAAGCAAGAAGACAACCCATCTCCATGGGTACGATAAACTTAATGAGAAAGGTTTGTGTGCTTACTTACCCTGCTTCCTGAAACCTGCTGGCAATCTTCTGCAGTTTACTGGAGGGAAATGCTATCTCGTAAACTGAGATTAAGGAGAAGGACCAGATACTGCCTCCTTGATGTTAAGACATGAATATTTCCTTGCTTGTTTCATTACAGGTAACTTAGCTGTGACAATATATCCAGCAAGAATGGCCAGTGGAACAATAGTTTTCATCCCCTCTAATGGAGCTAACTTAATCCAAACAGCCCAGGGGTTTCCCAGTGCTGTTCAGTCATCTGGAGCAATACCATATCTACCGTATGGAGGTCAGCAAGTTGGAATTTCCTACACTGCTCCTCAACAAGTCCCCCAAAGGGGTGCTTTGGAGAAATTCCTCAATGTAGAGGCCAGAGTCCTTGGGGTAAGCACGTTTGCTATGTTTGAAATCCATTAAGGTCTCACTATTTCTAGAGCTGTGTGGAGACCTGGGACCTGGTTCAGGGGTGGGATCTTCGGGGAAGTTCTAGATCTGGGCTTGGCTTGGGCATTGTCTGGCTCTGGAGTATGATCCAGAAAGCTTGCTGGTAGTTTCTTTTGTGTTTCTAGAAAAACTCCACCTCAGATCTGCATTTCTTTGCTCTTCAACTGAGAAAATGGAGCTCAGCCATAGTTTCAGCCAGGTGTCTTTTTATCCCTTCCCCCCGGGAAGGGCAACTGTTTGGAACTTCTCCAGAAGAACCTGATAGTGAGAACTATTAAGCCGTGGAACGGCTTGCCTCCCGGAGTTATGCGTGCTCCATTGCTGGAGGTTTTCAAGAAAAGATGGGACAGCCGTTTGTCTGTGATGGTATGAGGACCCCTGCCTTGGGCAGGGGCTTGGACTAGGAGACCTCTGAGGTCCCTTCCAACGCTGTCATAGCTTGGCTCTGGCCCAAGCCTCTTGAAGTCACTTTGTGCTTTTGAGAGCTTACCATGCTTACCTTCCTCTGGTAAGTCTGTAGAGAGAAAGGTGACATTCCTCTCACAAAGAGCCATCTTGATATTCTGACAGACATTCTTCCTGACAATAGCAGTCCCACTGCTATTGCTTATGGTTAAACTAGATTCTAATCTGGAGTTGTTGTCCAACACATACTGTTACTGTCATAGGTGTCTCAGACTGTCCCTTCTCCCCTATTGGGATTTTTCACCACAGCAAACCAGGCCTTGGGTAAACAGCTGCACTGGAAGACTAGAAGTCCCAGCACCAATGAAAGA